TGATTGGCAGGGGAATTTAGAAGACAGCAACTACTATGATTTAACTGATCTAGAAATAAGTTGCTAACAACCAGGAACTCTTGATAATATTCTCATGGTACCTAATGAATAAATATCAACCAAATCAATCTATGTGAGCACTCAAGAGTGGGATTAAAAAATATTATCCACAGAGGTAAAATCAGAGTTGGGAAATAAACCCTCTGGAAGTGGAGAGAGAATGTATTTAACGAACAACGTGTTCCAGGTGTTCGTGTGAAGAATTTTGAAAGAATTCACAACAAATAAGCAGGAAATGTGAGTCTCCGATACACAGCCTGCATCCTATCCAACAGGTGGCCTTGGGTTAAGTCCCTGGCTTTCACTGACTCTTCTGAGCAGCAGTTTTATTTGCTTCTGTCCTCCTTACTGGAACGGCTGAGCTCTGACACATTCACTCTTTGTAAGGTGGTGACTGCCAAGACAGGCGTTTACGCTGGATGCTCAACTCACTGATAGGGAATGGGACCCCTCGGAGTCATTAGGACAGAGCAGCACAATCTCAAAAGCTTGGGGGGCACTGAGGTCACCTTGAACGACAGCATCATTAACTTTCATCTCCGTTTGGTACAGACATCCCAAGACAGGAGCTAAATACATTTTCTTTCCTTTTCAAAACGATTCTACAAGGTGAGAGTAATTGGCCCTACTTTTCAAAAAACAAAAACAAATTCTTGAATTAAAATATTCATTTAAGTTATAAAGCAAGAAAATGATGTCCCGTGTTAGATGCTGATAGAAGATATAATTTTTTTAGAATGAGATTCAGCAGTCTGCAACAAAAATCTTCACAGAACAAGCAATGACACATGAACACAGTATTTACATTGAAGGATCTACTTCAGTACTATTTAATAGTGAATAAATAGCAGTGAGAGCTGTTTTGCCAGTGAAGCATTACGTAGGCTTCAAAAAAACATGTTTTCAAATAAGTAATGACACAGAAAGATGTTCACAATATAGCAATAAATTTAAAAGTGAGACAAAATAATCCCACTTTTTCATAACAAACATATGTGTACATTGGTAAGCACACATGGACACATGGAAAGTTTTATATCACAATGTGAAACACAGATACTCTAAGCATAATTTAGGATGATTATTGTACTTGAAGAGCTGATACAACTTTAAAATGGTTAAAAATTATTTTTCAAAGAAACCATACAATGCTGCCCTATGCCATTATGCATGTAAAATTTTTGTTCAGGTAGGTTTCTAAATGGCTATTTACCTATAAAAACATACTTTCTGGCAGTGGATTTCTCTTAATGTTAATAATCCTTGAGGCTTATGCATCAGGATGGTTTCGTATATGTGACCTTGACTGACTTCACTGAAGAACCCATAAACTATGACCACGATTTAACTTTAGAGAGAGTAGAGGGTTCAAGAGGTAAAACACAGTATCAGAGAAGGGAAAAAAAAAATCACCTTTGTTTAAAGCTTGATATTAAATTCCCTACAATAAACATACAACCAGAAGCCTTTTTCACACAGAATAATCATGCTGAAGACACAATGAACTCTGCTTTTAGTTCAGGAGTTGGTAGTTGGCCTATGCTTGTTAAGATGTCTGTAGGGGCTGGTGGTGTGACGTAACGGGTAAAGCCACCACCTGCAGGGCCTGCCTCCTACATGGGCTCCAGCGAGTCTCTGCTGCCCCACTTGAGTAGCAGCTCCCTACTGATGGCCCAGGGAAAGCAACAGAAGATGGCCCATGTGCTTGGGCCTCTCCTACCCACGTGGGAAACCTGGGAGAAGCTCCTGGCTCCTGGCTTTAGGACTGGTCCAGTCCAAGCTGTTGCAGCCAACTGGGGAGTGAACCAGTGGAATGAAGATTTCTCTGCCTCTGCCTCTTTCTTCAACGCTTTCAAACAAATAAATACATATCTTTAAAAAAAAGATTAACTTATTTTGAAATATTTCAACAAATGTATTATAATGGTGTGTTTCTAAGCTCAAGCTACTTATCAGACGCAGCCAGTTGCCCTAATATGAGCTTCACACTGCAAGGGTTGTCTGTGAGCATTCTAATCCCTCTAATCTCACTCTCCAGAAACTTCCATCATCTTTATCCTTAACATACAGTGAAAGCTTTGATAAGTAGAAGAAGGAGCATTAAAATTTTGAGTTGTCACTGGTGGTATCAGTTGCTGTTAACTGAATAAGAATTTGCCAACCAGGGCCCGGCACAGTAGCCTAGTGGCTAAAGTCTTTGCCTTGCATACATCAGGATCCCATACAGATGCCAATTCTAATCCCGGCAGCCCCGCTTCCTATCCAACTCCTTGCTGTGGCCTGGGAAGGCAGTCAAGAACGGCCCAAAAACTTGGGACCCTGCACCCGTGTGGGAGAACCGGAACAGGCTCTAGGCTCCTGGCTTTGGATTGGCTCGTTCAGGCTGCTGCAGACACTTGGAGAGTGAATCAACATACAGAAGATCTTCCTTTCTGTCTCTCCTCCTCTTTGTATATCTGACTTTCCAATAAAAATAAATAAATATTAAAAAAAAAAAAGAATTTGCCAACAATAGCCAACTTATTTACACATAGCTCAGTAAGCAAAAATGGCTTCCACAAATGATGGCTTTAATCAACGATATTAGGGAATACTAACTTTGAACCTCAGTTCAGCCAACTGTTAACTTTCCCAAAATAATAATCCATTCTTTCCCTTCATAGACTTACAATCCAAAAAATGCCATCTAATTATCATATGTTTTGCAATAAAATCTAAAAAATACACAAAGTCCAACTCAATCAGTGGAATGCAATAAAATTAATTTTCCCATTATTTTTAGAGTGTAATTTTACAGAACATAGGTGTTTTACAAATGTCTGTATTGAAACAAGGCAAACACATTTGCAACAATATCTGAGTGTGTAAAGGTGACTTCAGAACTGGAACTTCAACTGTATCCTTCAAAATTAGGTTCAAGCTGACTGCACGAATCAGAATAAATGCCACGAACCATTTCAACATAACCACAATCTGGTCAGTACTGTGATGGCATATGAAACTATACTGATTACTCATTCACTAACCTGAGCTTTTCAAGCCAGTACCTTCTGGTCCAGGTTCATTTCAGAACCTAGACTTATGAAAAATGAAAAATGAAAACAAGGTCCCATCACCCAGAAACGTGTGGGAATCAAACAAGAGTTCCTTGGACCAATATGCCATACAAAACAAAATCAGGCAACCTATACCTAAAAAAATTATGATAATATGTTAAGTGTGATTATCATCACAATTGATGACAATAATAAAATATAACTGCTCTATAAGAGCACTGCAACAAGCAAACGAAAATGCTAAATGAAAGGATTTTGCTCTAAAGAAATTTTAAAAGAATGCTACAAAGGCAATAGAGTATATAAAAGTCATGCGTTAGCACACACACAAAAAAAATCCCTGCTCTACTTATAGATGGTACATAGGATCTTATAACTCCAGAGAGACTTCCTCTCACCCAGCTGCTTACCATCTCCATGGATGCCTATGCTGCCTGGCCAGTCAGGAACTCTAGATGTCTGTGCTTTCCTATTCACAGTATCAGAACAACAACAACAGCCACTGCAAAGGTTTCTAGGGGATCAACAAAATTTGGTCCTTTTATCAATAGTACACGGTAAGCACTCAATAATGATTAACTATTACTACCCTTACATTAAATAATTATTATTGTAGTATATAGGAAGGGGCTTTCTGAAATTTCTTTGAAAATGGAGTCAAAAGACTATGTACCTCACTGCCTCCATCTTGCTCTGTTTAGCCTTTGACGGGTAGGGAAGGTGCTCCTTGTGCCTCTCAGGGGATCTCAGAATTCTCTGCACTCCACTGTCCTGCGGGGAGACCATGCCGAGACCAAAGCAAGAAGCTGCCTGGGGCAGCTGAGGCATCAGCTCAAGTGAGACCTCCAACCCCAAGAGGACTCCATTTTTAAAATAACTGTGAGAAGACTCCAAGCGCTGATGAAGCAGAGCAGGAAAGTCAACCGGAGAAAGGTATGGCTATGAAGTTTGCTGGGGAGCTCAAAGCACAACCCAAGCAGCCAGCCACCTGCCGTAGCAATCCCAGGCGTGGTACTGCTGCTTCCTTACATTCGTGAAGTTGGAGAGAAAAGCCTGCTTTCTCCCCTACTAGCTGTAAAGAGCCAAGAACTGCAGGATGATGAAGATCATGAGAGGCTTACCTAAATCACAGACACTTTGAAAGCAATAGTCTCCACTATGACACACCCAGCAGAGGATGACCCCAAACGGTCCATGGCAGATGTATACTTTGTTTGAATGACAAAGCATTTTATCATCCAGGTGGAACACAAAGCCCAGTACCAAGCCCACAGAGCCACTGGCAGGCCCTTTAAAAAGTGGGGCTTTCTTCCTTCACCTCACACTCTCAATTCAGCACCCCGCCTAGAAAAGGCTGCTTTCATCTTGAGCCTGGATGAAAAGCAACCGAGGTCCCTGAGACACTATTGCTCGAATGGGCAAGACATTACTCCAAAGAAGTCAGACTTTACAGAAGCTGTCAGAAGGTTTGCTTGTTACATCAATCTAAAGTTGTGCACTTAGGTGCACTATACAACTTTTTTCAATAAAACAGTGATATTGGAAAAAGATAATAAAAACTTCTTATAAACTTTTTGAAGCTCCCTTGTATATTAGAAATATAATTACTCAGTCTATTTATTTCTCTTAATTACATTATAAGTATTCCCCACATTAACATGGGCTCTTCATCAGTATATTTTTAATTTAATGAGCCACAAATGGCACTTTAGTTTTACTTTGATTTGAAATTTTATAATTACCAAGGGCAATTATTTTTGCATATTTGTTTATTAACTATATTTTGTTCTTGTTATGTCTGTGCATGAGTCTTATTCAATAACTATACTAAAATTCCCATGGTTTCTTAAAATTAACATTAGTACAAAGCAGAAACAAGCTTACCTTCTGGGCACCCTGTCGTAAGAATGTGCTGGCAAAAGTTTCTAAAATACAGTTGAGAAAGCCGGCCCCTGTGATTGAAATCCTGCCTCTTTGAATGAACTCTGTCCTACAAACACAAAAACAAAAAAATCTTTGGTATTATTCTTCATTTGGATATGTAAACTACAAACATTTCCAGGAGACTAATTAACATTTAACATCAACACAAAATAATATGCATAATAACTTTCTGTGACAACAAAGGATTTTACCAAGAGTAGATGTTCAGTTCAAATTATAAGTATTCATTTCATGCGGCAAATGCCTTTCTAAAATTGATTCTGAGACAATTATCATCAATATGAGCGCAAATTATTTACATCTTCTATAACTCAGTTTCCTCACATGTAAAATGGAATTAACCATAGGATTTTCCTTGTACAACTACGGTAAAAAGTAACTGACTTAACACACACCAACAGGAACATGAGGAATCAGTGACACATAAAAAGCATTATGAGATGTTAGCTATTAGTGCCAAAGAAGACAGACAGAAACAGAACGAAAAGCCAGAAGCCTGAAAGGATTTCATTAATCCTTGACCTGGGAGAGAGAGGACAGAAAAAGAAATAATGCCACCATCTCTACACATCCTGTCAAAGTTCTACTATATTTTCTCCACCTCATAAAACAGGAATGTGCTTACAGTTGAGAATGACCTAAAGAACTGAAAAGGAAGTGCTAGGCCCTCATTCCCAGGAGACACACATTAACAACAATGTATGACCCAAATTGTCTTTGTGAACTTTAAAGCCAGTTAAGAGGTGACAGCATCCTGGGGAGCCAAGAAATACCGCATAAGCAAGCTTGTTGCAATCACTCATGATGACCCCTTCTCACCAGAACAGCACAACCCAATCAGGAGAGAACTTCCATTGCCCAGCATCTCCACAGGACATGAGGAGAAGAGCTAAATGTGCACCCTGAATTACAGATTCCTGGGGGGCTGCCAAAGGATTGACACAAAAATCTGAAGACGATGGCAGCCTATTTCAGATGCAACAAGCAGAGTGAATTGCTACAGTCCTATAGAATAAGCAACAGAACAGACTCCCAACAGGACAAAGGATTAAGAACTCTTGAGAACACGTGTAAACCTCTACAAATGGGAACTCAGACATACAAGACAAGATGCAAGCCCACAGCAGACTGAGGGTCCCCAGAATCTGCAGCTGGGCTGAGGGGTGAGAGTCTGGAAGGGGTGTGTGTGTGTGTGTGTGTGCGTGCGTGTGTTCATGCAATAGTATCTTCAAAAAACAAAGAGATACATTTTTTAAAAAGCACACAAAGAATCAAAAAACATAATCCAGTCAAAGCAACAAAGCGGATCTCAAGCAACTGATTAAGAAACAGACATCTAAGAATTACCTGACAAAGAATTCAAAATAACTGTCTTAAAAATGGATTGACGAGGCACAGATATTGGCCTGCAAGGTTAAGCTAGCACTAGGGATGCCCCAACACTAGGCTGGAATGCATGGGTGTGATTCCAGCTCTGTTCCTGACTTCAGGCTCCTGCTCACGTACACCTGTAAGGCAGTGGCGAAGCCTCAAGGATACGGGTTCCTGCCAGCCTCACAGGACTGGCCTGAGTTCCTGCTCTCCTGGCACTGACTGGCACAGTCTCGACTTGGAAGGGCATTTGGAGATTGAACTAGGAGATGAGGACAGTTTTATCTCTAATCTTTCTCTCCATCTCTTCCATCTTCCCTCCCTCATTCCCTGCCCTCTTAAATAATTTAATTGAAAATTTAAATGAAGATGTTTGGTACGCTAAAGAGAAACAGACAACAAATGCCAAAACAATACAAGGATATCAACAAAGAATTTAAAAAAAAAACCAAAAATTTATCATTTAATAATATAACAAATAAACTGAAAAAATTCACCAAAGGGGTTCAAGAACAGACTTGATCAAGCAGGAAAAAAGAATCAGAAAGCTTGAAGATAAGTCACTTTAAAAGCAAAAATAGCCAGAGTAGTGGCATAGCCACCTAAGCCTCCAACTGTGGTACTAGAATCCCACAGATGCACCAATTCGAGTTCTAGATGCTTCGCTTTCAATCCAGCTCCCCGCAGCATGGGATGACCCAAATCTGGGGGTCCCTGCACTCACATGAGAGACCCACAAAGAAGCTCCTGGCTCCCAGCTTCAGACTAGCCCAGCTTTAGCCATTACAACCTTGTGAGTAGTAAACCAGCAGATGGAAGTCTCTTTATCCCTCATTTTCTCTTTCTGTAATTCTGCCTTTCAAACAAAACAATAAACAAATCTTTAAAGGAAAAAAAAAAAAAACCCACTATGAAGGGACAAGAAGAGAACCCAAGAAACTAACTAGACAACATCATGCAGTTTGTTACTTACATATTATGGGAATCTTAAGAAGGGAAGATTTCAAAATGCTGAAAGTAAATAAACTAAGAATAGTATATACAGCAAAGATATCCTTCAAAAATGACCCAGAAAGCATATTCCAATTACTTTTTACTTTTACCCACTAATTCATTTATTCAACTCACTGACTGTATGCTAAGCATCAGAGAAAGCAGGAAAGGCCCACAGGTAGCGAGAGGCGTTCTGGCTCCGGATTCTCAATGACTAGCGGAAAAGACAAATACATAAATGATAAAGCAGCAACAGAGGCAAAGCTTTCCACCAGAAGAACAGAGAACATCTGAAGGGCTGCCATTATCTTAAAGTGCCCACTATGTAGTCAGGGGCTTGACAGATTCTTCCCATATGTTAGAAAATGGATTGAAAAGATAAGTGAGTCCCAGGTTGCAACACAGGGGTGGCTGGCTGAGGTCTGACTCAATGCTAAAAGCAATAAGCCCTTCTCTTCTGATGACACAAAGTCACACTCAAAAATGAACAATTACGTGTGAACCACTGACTAAAAGGCCAGTTTTAAGACTTTTATATAATCCCTTAGCCACCACTTTCAGCACACCGCTTCTACTAAACTTATTTTTTGAGCATTTGCTAAATGAATAAATCAAAACAAGTAATTTGAAATTTAAAAAGAGTTGAAAAGTTGAGCAAATGAAATGGCTTTAGTGCCCTTGTAAAAGAAACTGAAGGTAGTGCCCTTGCATTTAGTCTTTTGGCACAGCGACATCAGACTCTGCACAGAATGGCAGCATCCCATATGAGCATCTGTCGAAATCCTAGCTGCTCCCACTTACCAATCAGCTGCATCCTAGTGTGCCTGGGAAAGCAGGCAGGAACTACTCAAATACCTGGGGTCCTGACCCCTACATGGAAAATCAGGATGGAGTTCCAGGCTACTGGCTTCAGCCTGGCCCAGCCCTGGCCACTGCAGCCACTCAGAAAGTGAAATAGCAGGTGGAAAATAACTCTGTGTGTGTGTGTTCCTCTTTCTCTAAAATGCTTTCAAGTAAGAACTTAGTGTTCTTGCCACATTCAATCCCATGAGGACACAGGATCCAACCCTTCTGCACAGCTCTCTGAGCCATCTGTTACTGATGCCACACCTACTGGGACCTTAGTGCTGGACTTCCCAGCCCATCGAACTGCCCCTCCACACAAGCACACACACTCAATTATTTCTACATTAAAAAAAATGAAATCCTGACATTTGCAACAAAATCAATGTAACTGAAAGTCATTATGTTAAGTGAGATAAATGAGACACAATAAGACAAAATAGGTTACCCTCATATATACAAGTTTCTAAAAGTCAATCTAAGCCTATAATAGTGATTACTACAGCCTGGCAAGGGGGCATAGAGAGAGACTGGAGACAATAAAACACAGAAATACTATAGTGTTGAAGAACATGGTAGAGTGACGAGTTCACAACAACATAATGAAGACCTGAGAGGGGCTAATCATCTCAAAACACAAGCAAAAACAATGGAAATGCTAAGTACCTGCCTTTTTTGTTTGTTTGTTTTTTGTTTGATTTTTTGGAGAAAGAGAGGGAGAGAGATCTCCCATCCATGGGTTCACTCTCCAAGTAGCCACATCACATGGAACAGGCCAGGCAGAAGCCAGGCGCCTGGAGTCTCCTCTGAGTCTCCAGGTGGGTAGCAGAGCCCTAGGGACTTAGTCCATCCTCAACTTTTTTTTTTTTTTCAGGCAAACAGCAAGCAGCTGGATGGAAAATGGAGCAGCAGGAACATGAACTGGCACCCACATGGGATACTGGCACCACAGAAGCTTCACCTGCTTCACTACAAGCCCGACCCCTAATTACCTGATTTGAAGTTTACACTTGTGCATGTGTTGAAACATTTCATAGTACCCCATAAAACACGTATAAGGATTATGTGCCATTCGAAAAAATGTCTCGCATACATATAAATACATATATTCAATAATCTGCTTCTCTACTTTCTTCCATCTCTACAGAAAAGACATTGGATAAACGTGACAGCACACACACAGACACATATACACAAAATGATATCCTGAAAAAACATTAGATCCCACAGGCTGTGATTCTGCTAGCGTGACTTCTATAGACAGTCCTGTGTCTACAGACAGTGAAAGGAACTTTCAGGACTGCCCTTCCCCTCCCTGCCTCTATCCCTTTCTTCCCCTGCCTTCCAGAGACAACACACACACACACACAGTTATCCCATCGGATCTGACATAAACACCTCAGTCTGAGCAGCTTCCATCGCTCAGATTTAAGCCCATTTAAAATGATTTGCTCATGTAAAACCATATCCTAGTGACACTAATCTTTGCCGTCTCTATCCTGCATTACACAAAGTAGAATTTTACAGCGATTTTTACGAAGGAAAATGTGAAGTTGAGCATTCTCACACTCTTGGGAGAGATGTACTCGTCAGTCCTGAAGGCAAGGGCAGGCGAGGGATTAATAAAAGTCTCTCTGACATCATATTCTAACCAATATTTCTTGTGCCACTTCAGGGAGAAGAAAGTCTACAGAAAAGCACTCTCTATGTTTGTGTCACGTATGAGAGAATAACCGTGCAGTAAAGCAGGGTCATGCTCCCGCCATCAACAGCATGAGGGTTTATCCTATTGTATTTGAAGACTGTCAGAAGAAAATGTTGTACTTCCCCTCCATAATT